AATCAAAAACCTCAAGAAGGGAAGGTTTACTAGTGAGCCGCACAGTCGATGGAAAATGGTTGAAGTGGGAATGTTCGTTTATCTTACTCAATTGAGGTGCTTTCATAAGCGGACTCGTGTACCAGAAGAGCCGTACTCCCTGTATGACTGCCGCTTCTTAATCAGTGCTCTTCGAAGGAGCTTGGTTTGTTTCCCTGTCTTTTTACCAAGATCATGAGTCTCCGGATCCTAGAAGGAGGTTCTTACAGGACGCACGATCTGCTGCTGAAAATCTCGAGCTATCTCACGGAGACGAAAATGACGCGCATATCACAACTTCCATTTTACATGCTAATGAAGCAGGTCCTCTGACACACAGTGCTCTACCTGAGGTATCAGCACGTTCCTTTCTATATTCTTCTCTCGTATTTTATACGTTTTCTGACCCCTACAGCATGCCTTCAAAGTTATGTTAGTAAAGTGGAATAGTAAGTGTTGCATTCTCTTCGCTCTAACATATGCTTTCGTGCTATCACAAGAGGTCGGACCGCTGATCATGCTAAAACAACTTCAAAGCATGTAAAGCCATCAGTCTTGCGGTTCCCTGCCGATATCGGGTAATCGGGCGACATCGGTGGCGTAATAGATGGCGCGCTCGTCCGGGCAGCAGGGAGCAGTGGGTTTGAGTCCCGCTTGGGACCCGACTTTTGCAAGTAATTGGACATCTCTGAGATAACTACATCCTAGTAATTTTCAACCACTGCTCAGTTCCTTCTGTACTTAAGCCCGCTCCCATTCCTTTATATCACTTTTCGAGATTAGCCTTTCACATCATAGCTGGTGGGTTTGAAAACAGAAGCGTATGTGCCAGCTTAACTCCTACCCTTGAAGAACAACTGAGAAGCTCCAGGAAAGCCGCTTCATGTGTGTTGCCCTCTCCCAATCGAGAGTGGATGATTTGTTAGGATTTTGGGCGAGAGACCACTTAAGAACAGTGGGAAAGCATACAGAAGAGCGAAAGGAAACGCAACGCGGGGAATCGCTGCATCCAGGTTCTGAGCAGTGCTACACTTTGAGGCCCCTCTCACTACCAACTTCGAACTGATCTGGTGCAAGATCCATTTCGGCCAGCACAGCTTTTCCCTTAAGGGGCTTTGATTATTAAAAGTGGTCGCAAAATGTGCCTTCAAAGGCACAATCCACGTTGTTTCACGGGTGTAGTCATTTGGGCAAGTGTACTCTGCTTGTTGGTAGGCCTATCCTCCTAGGATGGTAGAGATAAGTAGCGCGCCGATGAGGAAAGTGAACTGGTCCAAGTGACTCCGCTCATACTATATATAAGCTCGGATTGTTCCACTAACTTTCCCTCTCAGAATTTCATTTTGAGCATTTGAGTTTTCTATGCGTTGATGAACCCTCTGTAATGGTATTACACAAGTTAATGGACACAGTTGTTTTGTTCTTTTTTTATTTTAACTGCTTTGTTTGTTTTCGGATGAACAAGTGACGTTCAGTAGATCCATGAACGCTTCTGAGCTTCTCGCCAAAATTGATCTGCTTTCGAAACGGCTGGATAGAATCGGTAAGGAGTTTGCAAGACCATTAAAATCTTTCATCGCTGTTTATGTATTGTAGGAGCTGCATCGTGTGTGCTAGGAAATCGCTGTCCGAGTGCACTAAAAGGTAACTTGTATCAAGGAAATGTGAATGATTCTCTATTTATTCCTATTTCATTTGCTCAGCTTATAGAAAAATTTACTTGCAAATGGTGTTTCCGAGCGATGTGCAACAAAAGAAATCAAGGTCCGCTAATTCTGATCTCAGAAGAGATTAAACAGCTCATAAAGATCTTTTTTGCCAGGTTCCGGTCCGTGAAAAAATCCTACGTCGACGCACTCATTGTGCTTTTCCACTGGAATATCGTGATCCATCCTGTGTCGCGGTGCAAGTGAACCGTGAATCCCGAGGTGAGAGCTCTCCGCCTCTCTTTTCAATTCTCCTACTGAGATGATGTCCTTTTAGATGAAGAAGATGCCATATGTGGAAGGATCAGACGAACTGACCTTGATGTCAATGCTGACACAGAAAATAAAAGGTGGGTACTTGTTTTTGACGGAGTTCCTCAGATTTGAGGAGTTGGAGGACGCGAGGCGATCAGCACGGTCTATTTATTGAATCCCGAAGGGGGGAAGGGATTGGGCCAAGACTTAGATGAGCAGATGAGCATAACGGTACTAAATAGTTGCCAGTTCAGACACCGTTCGCCGACAGCATGCGCGTAAGACGGCACGACTAACAGAACGTCGGCACATCTCTCATGTTCCCTTCTCCTACACATCGCGCTTCTCTGCATTAACCGGCAGAAAAGCGCAGCCGCTGTCGCACTCGTGAGGAGGTTTATGGACACTTCGATGAGCGATCTACTTTCCTCTGCACCACCTCCACCCTAAATGGTTGTTTTGTGGTGAAATCACGGGGGTTCTAGGGAGGCATCTCTCAGCTCCTCATTGACCTGGCCGAGGGCTCTTGGAAGGGTGACCAGCACAGCCACATTAGCTGGTCATTAGAAAAGGTTTTCGGGAACCTACGGATTGTGTAACCTTGTTTTGGCCGAGATATTCGGCTGTGATGTGGAAATTGTGGTAATCGGGGAGAAGACTGAGTACAAAGAACGTCTTGTACTGGGTACAAGGAACGTTGTGAACGCCTTTTCACCGTTCGAAACAGTGCTCAGCCTCCCCCCCCCCATCTCGCACCCCTCTGGATGTGAGGTTATGCATTGATAGTATGCCTTTTTGTCGTAGTTATTTCCTCAAATGTCCTCATTTTACAGGCTCGAAAACTGTCACTGGACGACTTAAGCCTAATTCACAGAACAAGGTTCTTTTCTTTTCTTCAGTTTTAAACTTACAATTGATGTGTTTTTGTTGCTTGTCATCTTTATCATTTTTTCCTCACATTATTCGCTCTGCTGGTGCTTTGTGACCATATGAACCCCTTGTTTCAGTTGGCGATAAGAGGAAATGATGGTGGAGCAGAAACTGCAGCCAGTGTGCGTTTAACGCAGAAATGTCTCCGACCAATTGAAAACAGTTCCGAAATGGGAGGGCTTCTTGGTTTCAGAGCTCCTTCTTATGGTATGCTTTGAATGGTTGAAAACTCACATGATTTCTTAATTGATCCAGAGATCTGTTTAAGGTGGGGCTTATGGTCCGTTGGTTGAAACTGCATCTTCGATGATAAATGATCTACAGTTGGCGTCGACTTCGGAAGAGTTTGTCAAGAAAAAGCAATTTCCTACTACCGCTGCTAAAAGCAGAAATGGTATCGTATTCACTGGATTCTCAAGAGAGTGAGCTTTCCAAAGTAATACTTACTTGAGATTTGCTTACATGCTGTTAAAATCAAAAATTCAGAAGAGAAAGAGAATTAAATTCCACTGCCTCTGAATTGCGCCTGAAAGTACAGGCAAAAATCACCAATAGAACATATTGTGTTATAAGTGCGAATGGAGATCGCACTCTAAATACCCTACGAGCTGTTGTGTCTGGTATTCCTGTGGTGAAGTTGGAATGGGTAATACCTTGACTTATTATGGTGTAGTCAACACAGAATTTTACTAGGCTACGTTTCTTGTAGCATAACTGATTACAGCTTGACGCTTGTGCTGATGCGAACAAGTTCCTGCCGCTCGATCGATTCTATCATGAAAAATGGCAGAATTTAATACAGGTATTATATCTACTTGACGAATAGAAGAGCTCTTGAAGACAAACTGTACACTCACCTCCGTGCATCCTGGTACTTGCCATGTGTGAGGTGGAATGGATTCGCAGCTGCAGTAGCGTGCCACTTTCTTCGGTCAAGAGTGTACGGGAACGAGGCTGGAGGGTAGTGATATATCTAGCTACCGTCCCATACTCCGCCCGTACTGCTGTACCTTCAGCAGTGCGCCTGACCATAACCAAACACGCTACTTGTCTGCGCTCTCCCACTTCTGATTGTTCTCTACCGTCAAACGCGTGTTTCGCTGCGGGATCTTGGTATCGACGCAAGCGTTGTACATTGAGGACAGCATGGGCGGAGTAGAAGGACAGCACCTGGTTTGTGGATTAAACCCCTCCAGTTCTCGCTACGCCTGCGCTTTTGAGGCGGAAGAAGGTGACACGCGTTTACAGCTGAAGCGTTTATTCACCTCGCACAATGGAAAACGGACCATCTTCGGAGGTGAATTAAAACGAAAAAACTTTTGTCTTTGAGCCGCGTCATGATTTCGCCGACTAGAGGCTTCAGTCGTGCGATTTGGAAATAGGCGCGAGTCGCACGTTCGGCACAGGCTGCCCACCGCTTATCGCAAGTTCTTTCCAGCTACCAATACAACCACGTATAAAGTAGGAACTTCTTTCGACAGGGTTCAGAGGTGATCAGCGGCTTGGCGCCACCGGCCTTGAGAGATTCCCGCATCGCGCGATTTAATCGCTTGAATCGCGAAGTATGAGCCGCCGCTTTGAAGGAAACCTGGGTAAAGTTTGTTTGTTGGCTAATGCGACAGTGCAAGTTAATATTGATAACCTCCACGCTCTCTTCCGGTAGGTGAAAACGAGATCTATCAACAGTTTGAACAAAATTTTGAACCAACAGCAATTACACTAACAGCGTTGAGGAAACCCAAACGTACACGTGCCCTGGGTTACACAACCTTGATTACTGTGTGCGACGAAGACTAGTTGTTCCCTTTCAACCTGTACCCAACGCAGGCCACCCCTCTGGGACGGAAGGGTCGCATTTGTGCGCCCTAGCCGTGAAGGAGAGCCGCCTACTCCTTAGTAGTGTCAGCGCTTATTTGGAAAATTTTACGGAAACCTTGCAAACTCCCGAGCCGTACAGCAATTTATCGCACTGTTGTTTCTTCTGAAGTTCTTGCAGTTCGAGGGATGATTATAGTCTCATGCGGTGTCGAGTTTCATTGTTTCGTCCTTTCAGAAGCGAGCAGAATATTGTCGTGTGTTTTCCGGAGTTGGAAAAATTTTTGTATGCGATAGTTGTTCCCCTCCTACAGATGACATTGTGTGGATGATAAGACAAAGCGGAGGAGAGGTCTGTTCCGAAACCTCCCTCACCCTAGATTATGTTCTGTCCCCTTTTTAGGGGATTGATTTAGCTTCATCAACATTTAGGTAACGAGTGATCCATGTGAGTGCGCTCTAGTTGTGGCTCCTCATGATCACTCCTTAGAAATTTTGTGCTCGGAAGATGTGGAATTCCCTCCGCCTGTTGTCGTCGAGAAGTACATCCTGGGTATGTTTTCTCATAAATTCTGATATTGTTTATCTACAATTAAGATTTTCCATTTTTTGTTCCATTTCAGATTGTATCTGTGAGAACGAAATACTAGAGTTTGACGGCTACATGGAACATGATGTAGTGGATGAAATCTACTGAATTCATGTACAGTCTTGCTCGCTTCGGATGCTTGGGCGTGTACGGGGGCCGATTTTGGCGCGGCGCCAAACTGTTCTCCACCAACTGTTGAAACAAGCGAGCTACTAAAAATACGGAAACAGTTTGGCATCGCCAAATTCAGCCCCACCGACGTGCCCCAGCGTCCGCAGTGAGCAATTCTATGTATGTTTGTATCCTTATGTTGTTGAATTCACACGGACCAGACAATTCCTGAGTTGTCTATGAGACGAAGTCTTTTGTAATAGTTTTCACACTTGTTGGAAAGAATTATCATTCTACGGCTTTTCACTTACAAGGCAAGTGATCACTAATTAGTATCATTTCTACCAATACGTTCAGCGAAGACGTATAATGAATTTCAAACTTACTCATTCTTCATTGGCTGGATTGCTCAGAATAGAACTTCCTTATTCTTATCACGTTGCTGTACGCTTAGAATAGAACTTTAGGCCGCTTACCCACTCCAAGGAAAGCTACACTTTATTGATTCGTCTGGGCGGTTTATGGGCGCGTTCCAGTGCACGCTAGCTGGCGCGCCGCCAGTCCAAGAGTTCTACCACTAGTTCTAGAAAGAGGAAAAAAAAAAAAAGAACTAAGGGACAATAAGTAGTAGAAATCGACTGATACGATATGGTGCAGTCTTGTCGCTTGCCTAAGAAAAAAAACGGGCTTGCGCCATGCCAAAACCATCCATCCTCTTGACATGTCCCATCATCCGCAACGAATAAGTCGTCAATTCACATGGTGTTTCCTGGATGTCTTTGAGCAGTGTTCGAAGGCTGTTCTAACCTAAACGCTTACACAAACAACCTTGCACCTGCCTAACACAAAATTGGGCGAGGTAGAGGGCAGTTTACGCTAGTCGCGTGGGCGGGGCTCTGCCCTCCTCATCATGATTCTCCTTAACGAGATATGGATGTAACCACTGCAGGGGTAGACAGGGCGTGTGTGTTGGCGCGGTGCTCGCCTGTTTAGCATCAATCGCTGCTGCTCAGTCGATCAGAGTGCTACGAACAGGATACAGCATCGCGATGAGTGAAATGGTGGTTTCACTACGACCCCCCCCCTCTCCCGTCCCCAACACCTACCTCCCTTTCCTACATGTTCTCCAGCTTCCTACCAGTTTTTTTTCGAATTTCCTGGAAATTTGCTACCTTCCCACCAAAATCTGCAAAAGAATTTCAGTCGAGCGAGAGGGGGGGGGGGTGTACATAGCACCAGTGAAACGAGAAAACCACGAAAAGTCAACGACTGGGAAAAATTTTTTTTCCCGAATTGCGAATTGCACATAAACGCACACATGACCCCCTTCCGCAGCGGTCAAGTACGACTCTCATGTGTTTCAAACAACGATGCTGTACCCTGGCTACGAAAGGATTGGAGCCGCGCCGAAATCTACTCCCTTGCCAACATCATAGATGTCGATTGTAGAGCGGAGTGGAAAGAAAAGGCGGTTGTTGGCCTCACTACGCTCGCATGATCATCATGACTTTAATCGAAATACCAGTTCGAATGTAATAGCAGACTGAAGGGTTCTTCTATCTGCAATCCAACTTGCAAAGGCGATAGCAAGCATAAGTCCTCACGTGTCACTGCCACGTCAGCTTCGTGTAGATTGGTAAAATCGCTTTGCTTTTTCCGTTAGCCTTGTCTGCCGCAGCATTTTTAAAACGGTGCAGCGGTCAGTGATTATTGCGGAGCAAATGAAGCCAAGGAAAGGAGGTGTTTGGCTGGAAGTAGCAGAATCAGAGATTATATATAAAAAGGAAAGTTATTGAGAAGCTCGAGAAACAAATATAACAGGCAAGAAAAAGGTTGTAGTCTGATTTATGAAAAGAAAGTGATAATAAGGCAGCATAAGAAAACTGAAGAGAATTAGTGGAGAAAATGAAGAGAAACAGAAACGAGGAGGAGGATAGGTACAGTCTTGTTCGCTGAGAATGGAGGGGCGTATCACGCACGCTGGTTCTGTCGCCAGCCTCCACTAGTTGTTGAAGCAGGCAAGCCTTGGCCATTGGTGGAAAGCGGGCGGTCGCCGCACCATACACAGTCACCTGGCAAGCCGAAGACTTTGTTTTGGTGTGATAACTGTTGTATGACGCCGCGGTGTGCGCTTCGAAAGTTATCACAGGAGTGCTGAGTCAGCGGAAGTGAAACCACAGGTGTAACTCGAGGTGGTGTTCCATCTATTACGCCATCGAGGCCGCTCTTGGTAATGGATACTCGCCTGGTTAGCGGGACATATAGATTCGAGTCCCGACTGGGGTCTGAATTTCGCCCATAACTAGGCACTCTTGTGACAAGTGTATATGAATGTTCACAGCGCTGTCCATGCCCGAAAAAGGCGTTGTCCAATTCCAGGGGATAGCAGCAGCGAGTGACAGTGGAATAACAGATTTCCGCCGTTTCCATTAATCTTACCTTCTCTTGCTTTCAGTTGCAGCTCCCATTTCATTACTTTATGAAGCTGTCAGAACTCGAAATTGTTTGACCCGTTTTCACTGGGCACGTATGGGGGTTTCGAGTAGTAGCTGATGCCGAAATTGTGCCCTAGTCCTGTACTTCAGTAGG